AGAAAAAAAGAGCAATGTCCGACCTCCCACCACCCCCCTACTCCGAAAGCCCCGGCGCCGGCCTCTCGCCCACCCGCCCCGTCGGGTCCCTCAACCCGTCGCTCTACACGTCGCACCTGGCCGCGCACCTCTCGACGCTGCCGGAGCGCCTGCGCGAGTCGCAGCGCGCCCGCTCCACGCGCCAGGCCGCCTCGGACCTGGACGTGGTCGAGCGCGTGCTGCCGCACCTCGAGGCCTTTCTGGCCGACATCGTCTCGCTGCCGCGCCCGCCGCCCGCGGCAGAGCTGACCTTTGTCCCGGCCGCCGCGGTGCCGCAGCCCTGGGGCCTGACGTGCGCCGCCGAGCGCCGCCGCGAGGGCGAGCTGGTGCAGCTGGTCCGGCTCGAGCTGCCCGAACCGGCAGTGGTGGTGGTGGTGGACGGCAAGGACGGCAAGGACGGCGGCGGCGGTAGTAGCGACGTCAAGCATAGCACGGGGCCTACGACGACACCAGTGACGGAAAAGACGCCGACCAGCGCCGCCAGCGCCAACAGCAGCCTCCGGCCCGAGCGCGACTGGTCGTCGCGGACCGAGAACCTGTTCGACGAGTGGGGCCGCTGGGGCGACGACGCCGCCGGCTCGGGCGACGGGCAGCAGGCCGCATCGTGGTGGTGGTGGCGTGACGAGGGCGCGGCCCGCCGCCTGGCCGCCTACCTGCAGCCGGCCCCCGTGGTCAGGACGGAGCGGCGCGCCGTGCAGGCCGCCGTCGTGGAGGAGAAGAAGAAGAGGAGCGGGTGGGGGTGGGGCCGCAGCAGGAAGGGAGGGGAGTCGTCGTCTACACCTACCTCGCCGAACCCGCAGTCGTCGCCGACGGTCGCTGCTTCGCCGATCCTCGGCCAGGACGAGCGCGTCAACATGACCGTGCGGGCCGACGAGATTACTTTCAGGAAGGAGAATGATTTTGGAGTGTGGGAAAGCATGAGCGGCTGGGGTATTGTCGTAGTTGTCACGATCAAGAGGTAATTGTATCCTATAATCTTGGGTGGCGCCATCTTGCTTCATCTTCGAACGGCATAATCAGCCACTTTGTTAAACAGCTTTTGGGCGAAGAAGTTAGTCCTGAGGCAGGCCCCTTTCACAAATGATTGAGACAATAGTGGAAGCAAATTGATGTAAATAGAGCGCCGGCCTATGCTACTCGTACCAATACATTTTACATGTTACATCCGTTCCAGATACATCGAGCAGAGTAGTCAAATGTCCGGGAATAGCAACTAGCCGAATCGGATACCCGCACTGGGATCCCATGTCCCAGGTTTGGGACCTGGAGGTGGCTGCTGCTGTGGGGTCTCTGAAGTGTCACCGGGACTTGTAGGATTCCCAAACTTTATCGCCATGCCCTGTGACCACATCTGCTGTGAGGGTACTGGTCTATGAGTGGGTGGCATATGTGATGACGGTGCTTCTTGCTGCTGTGGCTGTGGCGACTGCTGCTGTGGTGGCGGGGGCTGCGGTTGCGTGGCATAAAACTGTTGGGGCGGCGGTGCATTATCGCGAAGGGAAAGAGATGAGAGTGTTGGCATAGATATTTCGCTTTGTGAAGTCGTGTTAGCAGTGGAAATCAGTAGACGAAAGAAGAAAGAAAGAAGGGGACAGAACGTACTCCTCAAGACTTCTTGCGTCCCGCCGCCGTTCGGCGACCCAGACGCGGCACTGATCCCTATACTGGCCAACGATTTTGCTGAGGTCATTGTAGAACTTGCGTCCTACCTCGACGTTGCTGACGATCTCCTTGTACTTGTAAAAGGCGGCATCAAGCTTCTGCAGCGCCGCCTCGCGTTCGCGCCCACCCGACGACGCGGCCGTAGCGCGTCTCTGCGCCTCGAACTCGCGGTTTACTCGGCCGACTTCGGCCAGCACCTTCTCCTGCTCGTCGGCCTCGCGTTCGACCAGCGCCAAGTCGTCCTCGTACATGGAGTCAAGGCGACGCTCGAAGAAGTCATCAAAGTGCGCGGCGGCAAGCTGTGTGCCGGGGTAGGCACGTTCGAGGCGGGCGGCTTCGCGCAGCATCTCGGGCTTGATATCATCCGCACGGGCGCGCTCGCGGAGAGACTCGATGCGCTTGCGGCGCCGGCTCTCCAACCGGAGAACATCGTTGTAGGCGCCGCGCAGGCGGCCAAGAGCTGGCTTCACAGACTCTGGGATCTCAGTGCGCCGACTCGAGGGCACAAAGTCCATGAGCCCTCGGTCGGGGCCGGCGAGAATAAGAAGCGTATCCTCAACCGCGCTGAACTTCTCGCGCACGATGGCATCAGACGAGGTTGACGACGCCAAATAGCCAGAGACTTCGGAGACCTGACCCCAAAGCTTGGCGCCGCCGCTGGGGTCTTGACGTGACTCTGGACGGGTCCAACGCTGAGTGCCATACTTTCGACGCAAGTGTTGGTCTTCCTCCTCCTCGGCACCTAGCAACGATTTGCCCTCCTCAAACACTGCCTGGTCGCTAGACCGGAGCTTCTCAATGTCAGCGAAGCTGCGGTGAATCCGGTGGAGGGCGTCGGCTTGCCGGATCTCCTCGGCGTGCTGGATGAGCGACCCTGGCAGACCGAGCGGCTTTTCCAGCGCTTGGAGTGAGCCAGGCAGATTCAGCGATGAGAGCATCTCATGTAGCTTCTCTGTTAGGGTCTCGAGCTCATGAATGATGTTTTGGTTCATCAGCCTGTCTCGCCTTTCCTCATATATGGATACGGCCATGTGGACGGCGAAGGGCACCAGTTTCGTAAACAGGGCAGGGCCAAACTCGGCCTGCTCCCCAAGGTGGTCATGGGGGTTTGCAACTTGGGGCGGCACGCGCGCGATGGCCAAGTTTGCGCGGTCTAGGACCTTGAGCTCCGGCTTTGCAGGCACGGGAACCAGATAGATGACATCATTATCGCGCTCGGCGCGCTTCAGGTCCTCTTCGGCACGCGTCTTGAGAGCCTTAATCTCGTTGACGACTCCCTCTTTGATGTAACCACCACGGGCCTGGCGGAGTCCCTCATCGGTACACGCGACGGCATCACGCAGACGTGCAATCTCCTCACCGTATCGACGCTTCTCGAGACAGTCAAGCGAGGCACGGTACTGGGCAGCTGCGGCGAAGAAGTGGTGCTTCGCGCTGATGTGGTGAATCCAGGCAGAGCTGATGGCCTGGCTCTTCATAGCAGCCTCGGCGGCGTCGTTGTAAAGGTCCGAGACGCGAGCAGCCAGCTTGGCAACAGTGGCATCCTTGTAGTGCTCGGTGACGGCCTTGCGCCAGAAGCACTCTTGGCTCTGGGCAAGCATGAGCTGCGTTAGAGACTCAAGGGTGGTCTCGTCCATGTCCTCTGGAGGGTCGGGCATGCGTAGCTCGGGCAACACGGATGTCTTCATGTGACGGAGCACGCCGGCGGCGTGCGAGTAGTAGTTGGCTGCGGCCTTGATGGCGTTGGCGTCGCCATGGCTGTTGGACGAGATGGCTAGCTGGCAGTATAGTGCGGCCAGGTTGTAGAGAACGTTGAGCAGTTCGTATTGCAGGTTGTTTCGCACCATCGGGCGCTCCGTGTTGTAGCCGAGGGCAGGATACCACGAGAAGTCGGCACCGATCTAGGCAGCTCGGTGGTTAGTCTGCCGGTTGTGTATCGTCCGCGCCGAATCGGACATGTCTAGGCAGTAGTGGCAGATAAGTCAGGGGAGGCACATACATCGATGGGGAACTTGCCGCTGATCCACACTAGCTGAGCGGCGTAGGCCTGCAGCTTCTGGATACCACTAGCATGGGCCTCTCGGACATTGACGGCGTCACGGCGGAGGGCGTCGATGACCTCGATATCCTTGCGGAACATGTCCGGGTGCTGGTCATACTTGTTGGAGATGTACTGGCGGACCGCTGGGGCGTACGACAGGTGGGTGGCCCGCCGGAGCGGCACAGCCAGCTGATTGGTGGTTTGCCTGTTTGAGCAGACAGAGTTAGTACCCCGGCATAACGGTCACCCTGAGCCTAGCTTGACCTCCTTGTCCGCTGAACCAGGGCTGAAGGGCTGCGTGGCCGCCAGCGACGCCGACACGTCCGATATGTTGCACTCACGACATTTTTGGGGGCCCTGCCAGCGAGCTGAGCTCTGAGCGCCGTTTCAGCTCGGCTTTCTCCCAGGATGGACGTCCCCGTCGGCTTTGGGCACGTTTAGGTCGTCCTGGAGCGGCTGTTGTTTGCGATCTTGTCCCAAATCCGGAACCCCACCATGACCTCATCCAATGGCTCGGCGGGGTAGGATGGGAACAAGGGGTCTGATTGGGTGGCGTCAGCTTTCATGGCCTCAGGCATCTAAATCTAAAGCTCTCCAGCCGGGGCTCCACATTCGGGATTCTAGCCGCTCGGTCACAGCTATGGCCGGCCACCGACGCCGCCGAGTCCGTCCCCTGGACCCTTTCCGCCACGCTGCACAGACACGTCAACGGCACAGGCTCGCGTTGCCAATCAAACATCCATGTGTCAAAGGAGCTTCTGCAGAGTTGCTTCTTCGGTCTCGTCATGCTGGCCTTCGTTCTTCTTTTTTGGACAGTCACAGCCATACGCTATAGGCGCGCTAGCCATGTCTGTGCTCGCCGATTCACTCGACGCCACGCGTCAGCGGGTGGGCGCCATCGCTGACAAGAAGCCCCCGAGAAGGGGTCTTATGCCGCTTTTCTGCTTCAGCGAAGCCACGCTGTGATCTGGCGTCAGGCGCGTAGCAAGGCCCATCCTCTCCCGTCTTAGGCTGTGTGGCCATCAGCACCTTTTGCTTCTTCCTCGCCGATACGAAAACTCTCTTCAACGGCAATAGGATCAAGCGGATTGTTGTGCTGCCCGACCCATCGCAATCCCACCGTGCCAGCATGCTGGCAGATATTGGCAACTGAGAGTGCCCGCCTTGGATCACCCCCGCCGGCTTGCCATAGCGCTTTCATGGAGGGGTGGAGGCGTTATCACCTGCCAGCCGGCCCGAGACCATACCTCTAGTCCAGCCTCCAAGGGCATGGCGCTAACAACTACTAGTCAATCAGAAGGCGTCAAACAAGCTTCGGTGTTGCCTAAAGCTGCAGGCAGGATGCTCATCCCATGCCGACTGGTGACAGGGCTGTGGTGGACTTGATCGAGATCTTGGGGCCCATAATTCGACTGGAGTGCCATCGACGGCGCATTTCCTAGCTAAACGCGGGCGTCTTTTATCTATTTAGGTCTTCAGGATGGCCAAGAGGCCTTTTCAGTATCCCTCGGTCCCGGGGCTTCTCTCAGCCCCGAGGCTGGCGAGGTTGACACATGGGGGTACGGGACCTGCCGGCAACTTGTTTACCTCGACATTACGCACATTGCTGTACGAACTTGGCTAGTGTCTGTATCTGTTTGCATCCGCTAAAGTACACAGACGGGAGTGAGCGTTTCTTTGCGCAGCAACTCCTCGCGGTTCCTTGGCTTTCGACATGAGACATCTGTCAAGCATTCCAGGGCGTCGCCCTCTTCCTCGTTCCGCTCTGTTGACATCTCCAGAATCCACTCAATCACCGAGGATGGATGACTGGAGGAATACAGCCTGCTCGGTCGGTCTCCGTTGTAGCGCAAACGAGGGCACCTCCTTCCATGATCTCCATATCCGATCGACAGAAGAAATGCCAGACGCCGGGCTGTGTCTAAATACAAGGGCAGGCTCACTTGTGTGGGTTCACAACCGAAGCCTGCATCGCCGAGGCGTGTCGATTGGCTGGCCAAGGGTCTATCCGTGGGGACAGCAGGAATTGTCCACCCCGGGCCATGCAGCCCAGCCGGGTGTTTTACCTAGGCCCGCGGTGATTAATTGCATGTCTAGCCTGCCTCCTGCCCTCGATTATGCCTTATAACTGGGGTACCACGCATACATGGTACCAAGCACTTGGGCGGGCTGATTCTGCTGCCTTGTCGCCGCACGGAACATGGGGGGCTGGGACGGGGGAACCGTTCCCTACAGGCTACCGAGACGTCTCATGAGGCGACGGATCTAAGTTCCTTCGATCCTCGACGTTGATAGCTGTGTTCCGCGCCCTCGAGGAGTAGTCCCATGGCGTTCGCAGCCATTCAATATCGCAGCCATCATTCTTGAGACGAAGGAGCACAGCGCTGACCTATGTGGATGTCCATAAGAACATTCAGATGGCATCTCCATGACGCATGTAGCGCCAATCTCCCGGGTATTGATTAGAAATTTTCACTCATCGGACGAGAATTCTGAAGTCGGCCGAACGACTGATGCAAGGCACATGTTTGTGTATGTGGCCAGATAAGACCGGGCGAGATGGACGGGGTGTAATATTTTAGAGCGTGTGAACGTGTTGCCCAACCTTCGTATCTGGTGAATCGGGCGCGGGGATACGACCAGGCCCATCGCAGTAGTGCCCACCGGTCGTATCGGTCTCCATTAAGGCTGAGGCCGTTATGCAACAAGCTCTCCGGACATCCCCAACTTTGTATCCCGGAGGAGCCCCACCCGCACTCGATGACCCCTGTTCACCGCGGGCTAAGCCGCTTTTAGTTGGCTCCCAAGTTTCCCGGTAGCGACTGGGGATTCGCCAGGGCGTGTCAGCCGGTTTTCCAACCCTCCCCACCTTTGCCTAGACCGGCGGCATAGCGGTTTCGAGAGAAGCTCCCCGCCCCCGCGGTGAGCATGCCGTCATTAGATGGAAGGCACAGCAACATGAGACGGTGTGAACCACGAGTTTTCCCGATTTGCAATGGAATGGGACCAAGATTCCCGTATTCCTTCTTGCCGATATTGAACTGTTCCTGCTGAACTGTTCCTGCTTGCTCATCCATTTCCCAAGTGGGTTGTCACAAATCGAAACTGTCAAGGTGCTCATCGAGGATGTGCCAGGGCTGCGCAGGCTCCAACGGGCGTAAATGCACATACCCCTACCTTTCCGCTTCGGGATGCTTGGTGAATCAGCAGGGCCACCAATCTGGTCGATACCTACACCCAGGGTTGGGAATTAAGTCACAATTAAGTCATTAAGTCATTTTTTAAGTCAAACTTTGCAATAAAATCTAAAATCAACAAAAATAGGTAGAACGTTTATTTCTTCGTATTTATATAAACAAATAGCAAAAGAAAATATAATATAAGTTTATATAACTTAAAAATGGTATATAAGCGGGTAAAAATGCATTAAGTCACAATTAGTCAAAAAAAAAGCTGAAAATGACTTAAAAAAATAACTTAATGCAAATTACGTGATATATAATTATGTAATTAAATATTTTAAATATTATTTATATAAAACTGAGTTTTCTGTATTTAATGGTGGTATTTTTATACTTATAACTATAATAGTTAATTTAATATTAAGCTTTAAACTGTGACTTTTTACTGACTTAACGAGTGACTTAAATGACTTAATTCCCAACCCTGCCTACACCCCACCCCCTGGTCCTTCTCTACCCCTCATCACGCCTCTTCGAGGAGGCGCCGGTGCGGCCACTTGCAACATCATTGAGAGGCAACAGAGGGGGCTCGCATTGGCTTACCCCGAGCATGATTTGCGTGATCTCCCTCGATTTTCTACCTGTTGGCATGATCTTTGCCGCCGCCAGTCTGGTTCTGCCGAAAGTCCACCCGATCTTGGGTTAGATTCTTGGTCGGCGCCTCTAGAAGTGGGCGCCTAACGATAGAGACGGCGCGGACTGCTCGGCCGGCGCGCCCGAGGCCAGTGGGCGCCGATGATAACAGCCCGAGTCTGCATCGCTGGCATCTCTCTGGGGCTCGCTAGCCGCGTTTGGATTCAAATCCGAGCACCGCCAGCCACCCCTCCGTCTCTCCTTGCATCCAGACGGGCTGTCTCTCTGCCTGTTAGGCAGTTTGACGTATCCTTTGTCCAACGCGATTACAGAAGGCGCGAGAGGCCGAGCGAGGCGGGAGGAGGGGTCCTTCCTCCTCGCCCATCGGTCCGCCAGGCTCCTGGAGCCGCGGACAAGGGGATATCAAGAGTACGGACCGGGAACAGGCCGCACACCTCGTCTCCGACCCTGGTATTTTCGCTGCCGCCCAGGAGCAAACCAGTTCGCTTAACTTGCCCAGAGAAGGGCGCGTACATTGGCCAGCGTGCATGTGCAGTCTGCATGTGCAATATGCGTTGTGACCGAAATTCCACGGTATTGGACCGGCCATGTCCCTTGCCCCCCCTCCGGTGCCAGACACATGGCACCATTCCAGGCCCAACCCGCCGGTGGCACACCATCCTCCATCCTGTTGGCGGCCCCTCTTCCTCGGACCTGGCTTGGGTGTCCGGAGGGGGGAAGCTGAGTTGGTGGCCACAAATTTAGCTCCATTCTTGACCGTCTCGAAACACAGCAGTCTGTCTCGATGATCCCTGGCGCCCCTTGGTGAGATGTTTGGGTGGGATGGACAGAGCTGTGTGAGCAACCTGGAAGGGAATAGCTAGCCCGCCTCGACCCAGACCACCACCCCCACTCCCATTCCTTCTCCGTCCCTATATAACAGCTGTCGTACCTGCACTGCAGCTCCTCGTTCTCATTCCCTCAGTAGCCCCAAGTACCTTTCTCTTGTCATTATCTCTCGGTGTGCAGGCGGTTCGCCTCTTGTGTTCCCGACCCCTGAGGTCTCCCCCTTTCGTCTTATACCCTTCACCACCCCCCCGCGGCCCGGTGAGCACAGGGATCAGAGGACCCTGAGTTCGGCTGCGGCCCAAGGAGTCTGGTATAGCCAGCACTCTCATCCTATAAACACTCTTAGTTTCATACGAGACACGACGGCGCCACCGCGCCGCGCCCGCTAGCAGCCATGAGGGACAGCATGATCCTCCTCCTGTACCTGGCGGTGCCGAGCCTTCTGTTCTCGGTGCTCAAGCAGATACTCAGCTGGAACAAGAAGAAGGGCAAGGAAGGCGAGGCCAAGTTCCCGGGCCCCAAGCAGTTCCCCATCGTGGGGCGGATACACGACCTCCCGCGGTTCCAGCTCTGGCTCAAGTTCAAGGAGTGGGCCGACATCCACGGCCCCATCTACCAGACCCGCGCCGTCGACACCACCTTCGTCGTTGTCTCGGATGAGAAGATCGCCGAGGAGCTGCTCGTCAAGCGCGGCCACATCTACTCGGGCCGCCCGCAGATCCGCTCGCTCATTGGACACAAGGAGGGCATTGGCTATGTTGCTCTGATGGACAGGCATGGTGAGCATGGCCCATTCTTTTTGTCTTTAAGAGTTCTTGATATGCAGAACCAGGAACTGACGTCGAACAATCTCTCATCTCAGACCACTGGCAGCGCCAGCGCAAATGGGTCCACGCCGCCATGGCCGAGGCCTACCGCAACCACTTCTACGGGCACGTCGAGGCCGAGACCACCAAGTACCTGGCCATGCTGCTGGCGGACCCGTCCCGGTTCTACTGCTACACGCGCGAGCACTGCGGCCGCATCATGAGCCGGCTGGCCTGGGACCAGGCGCAGCAGGGCGCCAAGAACGGCATGTCGGCCGACACGACGCTGCACTGCATGTCGGTGTCGGGCCCCATCACCAACACGGTCGCGCCGCTCTGGTTCCTGCCCTGGAAGGTCAACCCCTGGAAGCAGTACGAGGTCAAGCGCGAGGCCGAGCAGCGCGCCTGGTGGCTCGACAACTACGACATCTCCAAGCGGCGCTTCCTGGCCGGCGAGCTGCCCAAGGACACGTGGGCGTACCGCTACATGGAGCAGGTCCGGGCCGGCGGCAACGAGACGCTGACGCAGGACCGCGACGAGGAGTTGTTCGCGAGCTGCATGATTGGCTTCTTCAACCTCGTCGGCGTCGTCACCATCTCGGGCCCCACAAAGTTCTTCCTCATGGCCATGGCCCTGTTCCCCGAGTGGCAGAAGAAGGCGCAGGAAGAGATCGACCGCGTCTGCGGCGACGAGATGCCCACGCTGGCCAACTTTGCCGACCTGCCTACCGTCCGCGCCATCCTCAAGGAAACCGTCCGGTGGAGGTCTGGTGTGCCTCTGGGTAAGCATTAGACTTTTGTTTCCCGCGTGATGGCTGCTTGCTTCCTGATTCTAACATGTTGCTTCTTTCAGGTGTGCCTCACCAAGCCGAGAAGGATGACGTCTACCGCGGAGTGACCATCAAGAAGGGCACCATTGTCCTGGCATGCGAATGGTAAGCTGCTGATCCCAGCTGACGCCAACCTCAATCCTTGTCAGCATGCTAACCCATAACCTCCAACACAGGAGCATCAACCGCGTCCCGGAGCGCTACCCGGACCCGGAGAACTTCCGGCCGGAGCGCTACCTCGAGGCCGGGTGGCCGACGTTCCAGGAGCCGCTGACAAAGTACCCCAACTTCCGCGACGGCGTCGGCATGCACTCGTTCGGCTGGGGCCGGCGCACGTGCCTGGGGCAGAACATTGTCGACGACGAGATGTTCGTGACGGCCGCGGCCGTGCTCTGGGGCTTCAACATGGCGCAAAAGGTGGACCAGCGCACGGGCGAGATCATCCCCATCGACACCCAGGCCACCAACAGCCACGTCATCCTGGAGCCGGACCCGTGGCAGATGACCTTTGCGCCCCGGAGCGAGGCGCGCGCGGCCAAGATCATGCACAACTACGAGCAGGTGCGGCCGACGCTCAAGGTCGAGGATTAAAGCCCGGGGTTTGTCGTTGGGTACAGCTTTATAGATGCCGCGAGGCTGGGACTGGGACTGGGACTGTTGCGGGTAACCCAAACAGTGCTTTTCAGCACCAGGTCTCGTTTTTTTGTTATCTGTGATTTGGTCACTCCTTTTTTGCTATAAAGCGACGGCAGTTGGGTATCGGGATTCCCTAGGAAAGGGTAGACGAAGCGATCTGGGGGTTTCTTCTCCATTGAAGGAGAGAAGCCATTCAATATGTTTATTAAAGCGTGAACGGAGTTTGTTTGAGCTATTAAAGACGATACCTTATGATCTTGCACTACAGCATCGGGCGACGGCGAAAAGCATGGACCGAAGTCTGTGTCCAGGAATATTTCCGATCCTAGATCACATCGGAGGAGATATACCACCAACTCGGATGCCGAGCCCATTTGACGGCACTGCGGCCCGCGCTTTGGGGTGGCGGGCAACCACTTGGCGTGCCGGGCGACTCTGATGCGGCCTCGGACGTACCGTCGGCCATCCCTTTTCTCACACGGGATCCGGAGAGATTCGGATCTATCCGCTTGATGGCAAAATATCTACAACGGTACGCATGTGTAGAGTTTCATCTGTAGGAGAGTACATCAGGACCCGTAGAGATCAGGAAATGGGATGGATTTCAAGGGAGCTCCATCTTTTGGGACGATATGGGTTGAAACTAGGAATGCTGACTGCACCATGCCCGGTCATGAAGCCCTGCTTACAGGAGAAAGAGATGTATGTCAGGGTCATTGACGTGATTGAGCTCTTATGTGCGCCTTCCGCCCCATGCGTGGAAGTTTATCTGGACGGGAAGTGGTTTCCTCGCTCGGGGCTTGATCTGACCGTGCTGGAATCCAAGCGTGGAGATGGTGGTTCTGGCTGATGGATGATTTACGCCATTGCCAACATCTCGAGGCTATTTCCAGGTACAAACGACATCGAGGGGTGGAAAGGGGACAAGAAAACCGCCGACAAGGATATAAACCTCACCAGTTGCAGAAGTCTGCTCTCTTTTTTACTCGGAGCATCATCCGACGTTCCTCCATTCTCACGGCGTGATCGTCTCGTCTCTCGAATCAGGGTTGGACCTTCGTCTTCTTGAATTTACGTTCCTTCCGCGACCGTCTGCGTCACTTGGAAACGTGCCCAAGCTTTTGGTTTTTTTCCATTTTGTGCCAATCGGGGCACCTTCCTTCTCCGTTGTCCACCTCCTCTCAATTTTCTTCCATCAGCCCAGCGCTCCTCCTCCGAACCTGCGCGTCCTCGCAGGCCAAAGCGCACCGCGGAGCCCTGAACGCCCAGTCCCAGACGTCCCGGTCAAAGGTCTTTATATTGACCGCCCTCCGTCCGAGACAGTCACCACCTGGACGGCCTCTCCTCGTCCGATCGCCGTTCCCGCCACCTTCGTCTGTCCCATTAACTCGCCGATGTTGAGTGTCAGGCCGCCCAGCTTTGACGAAATCGAGTCGCCGTCCATCTCTCGGACAGGCCCTGCATACCGAGACACTTAAATACCTGGACCCTACTACGACTTTTCGTTTTCGATACCACACTCGCTAGTGGCGTCGGAATGCGCGTCCAAAATCTATACGTCATGGGCACCACAATACCACCACGCATATACCGCTTCCTCCACATGCGGAGCCCATTTGGCAGAGCAATCGTCTTGGCAGCCATCTCCTTGATACTCATCAGCCTGTCGCTACTCTCCTCCAGCTCCTCGGAACTCCGCAGGGCTGTTCTCGTTACCACCGATAGCTTCAGACAACATGGGGGGCAACGGCCGCTATCAAACACGCCTGTATGGCCATCACCAAGCCCACCGAACTCGACCGAGAACACAGCAGGTGCCAGGTTTGACGCCGAGACGATGGGCTGCGAGGACGACTTTGCCCACTTGCGCAAGCTGCAGGTACGCTATGGCCTGCAGCCCAAGTTTGAGTACTATAGGCGCCACGTCCAGATTTCACGCCAGGATATCGAGCGCAGTGCCATGACAGAAGTCGACGAGAGGTTCCTGCCTGGCGAGTTCCGCCTCGTCGACACCGAGACTCGTACGGCCTCGGACACACCCTGCCCCGGCCCCGAGCCGCTCCACCTGCCTGTCACCAAGTCGCCATTCCCATCCACCGCGAACCTGTCCGACTTCCTCTTTGGCGTCTCGACGACATACAAGCGCTTCAGCGACCCGCGCACCAGTTCCGTGGACGAGTGGGCCTACTGGCTGACCGACTCGCGCGGGCGCTCCAACGGCGGCAAGCTGCTGCTCCTGCTCATCGACGCGTCGTGGCTCGAGCTGCGCGCGGCCCGCAACCGCCTCAAGTCGGCCGGCATCGACGCCGACGTGCAACGCTCCGACTCCAAGGACCCCATGGCGGTCCGCTACCTGTCGCTCGTGCCCGCAATGTATCGCCACCCGGCCCGGTGGACGCGCAAGTGGCTCGTGGCGTGCGACGACGACACCTTCTTCCCCTCGCCGCACGCCCTGGTCGAGCGCATGGCGCGCTTCGACACGTCGCGGCCGCTCTACGTCGGCACGCTGTCCGAGGACGCTAACAACGTGGACCGGCATGGGGCGCAGGCGTTCGGGGGCGCCGGCGTCTTCATATCGGTGCCGCTCGCGTCCGAGGTCGCGGCCGCGTACGACAGCTGCCGGACGGAGCGCAAGATCGCCGAGGCCGACAGCGGCTGGGGCCCGCAGGGCGACATCCTGCTGCGCAAGTGCGTCTACGAGAACACCCCGGTCCGGCTCTCCATGGTCCCGGAGCTCTGGCAGCTCGACCTGATGGGCGACCCTTCGGGCTTCTACGAGTCCGGGATCAAGCCGCTGTCGCTGCACCACTACCGCGGCGGCATGTGGCACATTGGGTACCCGCTCGCGTACACGCGGCACGCGCACCTCTGCGGCGAGGACTGCACGCTGCAGCGGTTCCGGACCCGGGACGGCTTCGTCCTCTCGGCCGGCTTCAGCGTCGCGCGCTACCCGCTCGGCATGGACGACCTGGATACGGACCAGATGGAGCGCACCTTTTGGCCGGCGCCCGACGACAAGGGCTGGAACCTCGACTTCGCGCTCGGCACGCAGCGCGGGAGCCTCGCGCGCACGGGGCGCAAGCTCTCGTGGGACCTGCAGGAGAGCGCGCTGAGACCCGACGGGAGTGTGTCGCAGATCTACGTCCGCAAGGCCGAGGACCAGCGGTGGGTCGACTGGGCGGGCAACCGCATGAGCGAGAACGACGGCGTTGTTGAGCTGGTCTGGATTTTGTGATTGATGAGGGGTGTTATATTTTTTTTGTTTGGTTACTGCTAAGAAGAAGAAATAGGAATGTTTTGATGTTGAAAGACGCCACCCACAGTCCGTTATCAGCCTTGTATCAGTATAAGCGTGGAAAAACTGCAATGGATATCCGGTAGGCTATATTGTCGAACCGTCAAACCTTTCTACGTTTGGTCGTCTGTTGCTACCTTTGTTGTGGATCGTGTCTGCGGCGCGGTCTACTGCATGAAAATGCCTAACCACTTGAGCGAGTTGCCTTTAACCCCCCCCTGACTAGCGGCAAAGCGGGTTCCGTCATCCCAACAGCGCTCGGCCTTGCTGGGGACGGCGCCGCGCGACGCCGACAACCGTTGAATCGACGACATGCCCGACAACGAGGACGACACGAGGCGGCTTTGGATTTAGCACCATCATCAGCAGCTGCCCTACACGAACGACCGCGTCCCCACCCCACATTGCCCACACGGGGTGACGACGACTGCGAGTCGAGGGACGGTGTTCGACCGGGTCAGGCCTCTCCTGGAAGCCACCGCGCCGGAGATGGCGTCACGGATGCCCCGCCGACGAACATGCGGGATCCCAGAGGCAACGCTCAGGTCCCAGCGACGGCAGGGATGCATGTCAGGGTCAGAACACGAAGCGAAGGATCGATCCTAGAAGCAATCCCGCAAAGATGAACCAACGTCGGAATAGATGGCGAGATGGCGGGTGGCACTAGAAAAGCTTACACCTTACACCGTTATCGCGCCCCATTTATTGCCTTTGCCCATGCATCGCAGGATGGGGTCCAGGAGGGGCTCGACGCCGCTCCGATGGCCGACCTGCCGCTTTCGGCAGTCGACTTGCCTGTTCCGGACTAGCCGATGTTACATTGGGTTGTCACCACATCCGGGCCGTTCGGATCCCCCAGCCAAGTGCGCCGAGCTCGACACTGCCGCCAAC